CAGAAAAAATTAGAGCACAGATTAACTCACAAGCTGCAGTCCTCCTGGAAAGCTGTTCTCCTCTTTGATTAAGCATGCTGATCGAGATGGTGAATGATTCAGTGCAGGATCTTCAATTCAGCTGAGGGTGCAGCTGATATAAATGTTGAAGGGATGAAGATATGGGTGCAATATGTTCATCCCTTAGGGGAAGCGGAGAAAGCTGGTATCCACAGGTGACAACTCTAGGGGGAATGCGTGAAGCGCGCTGTAGAGACTCGATCCTGAGTAGCCTCACAATGGCCCATATTGTGATGTAGGTCAAGTCTACAATACTACGCATACAATGCGACACTTGCGCAATAAACACGACGTTCGCGCGATGCGCATGACTTAGGCAACACAAATGCGACATAGGCAACACTTGCGCGCGCCTAAGCGCCCTATGGTGCCTGACTTCCCAGAGTGTTTTCCCATGTCCAACCAAGTTCCCAGGTATGCATTTCTCCATTTATCATTTATTCCATTATCGTACCATGTTTATTTTCACTTTACACTTTATCTCTCAACCATTACCTTCTACCATCATCTCACTACTACAAGTTTTTTATTATGTTTTGAATAAATCATTGCAAGCCCTAGTAGCAGTTAGCTCTAGTGGTTACATCTGCATTGCACCTCACACCTATACGTCTTGTTAAGTCTCGCTATTGCTCGCCTACCGCTTTCACGCACTTCCGCTTCGCAACACGCAGCTTTCCTGCGCTTTGCACACCTATAGCGCCTTTGTTCCCGCGCCTATCACCTTATTGCGCGCTTTGCGCATTCCCCCTAGAGTTGCTTATATTTGTGGATCCCAGCTTCCTTGCATCCCCTAAGGGACGAGCCTATTGCACATTTCCTCTTCCCTTCAACAATTATATCAGCTGCACCCTCAGCTGAGTTGAAGATCCTTCAGCGCAATAAGGCGAAAGGCGCGGGAACAAAGGCGCTATAGGGGCGCGAAGCACGTGAACATCGTGCGTTGCAAAGCGGAAGTGGGCGAAAGCGATAGTGAGACTTAATGAGACGTTAAGGCGTGAGGTGCAATGCAGATGTAACCACTAGAGCTAACTGCTACTCGGGCTTGCGATGATATATTCAAAACATAGTAAAAACTCGTAGTAGTGTGTAGTTAGATGATGGTAGAAGGTAATAGGTAGTGCAGAAGTGTAAAATAAACATGGTACGATAATGAAATAAATGATAAATGGAGAAATACACACCTGGGAACTTGGTTGGACATGGGAAAGCACTCTGGGAAGTCAGGCGCCATAGGGCGCTTAGGCGCGGGAAAGTTCGCCTAAGGCGCACGCAAGTCACGCAAGTGTCGCCTATGTCGCGCGAACGTCGCGTTGTATGCGTAGTATTGTAGACTTGACCTACATCGCAATATGGGCCATTGTGAGGCTACTCAGGATTGAGTCTCTACATCGGAGGTCGTTGATTGTGAGTACAGATGCAGCGGTGTGTTAGTGAGTAGTGATGACTTGGAAAATGATTCAAGTTGGAATATAACGAGCGCAAGGATCGAGAAGAAGGTGTGGAATGGCGAGAACTTGAACAAGAAGAGTTTCTGGAATGGTGAGAGGGTGTAGAATAACGAGGAGACAGGGCTAGAGGCTCCATATGATGATGAATGTTAAGTTGGACACGTGTGAATTTCATCTCGCATACCTTATGTCAATACCATCATGTCCAAAATGCGGCAAAATATTCACGAAGGAGTCCAGTGTAGCTCGCCACCTTAGCCAGCCCCGAACCTCATGCCATAGCTCTATTCGCAATATGGTTGACATTTTGCAGTTTGCAGAGTTGGTCGAACCACGTCAGCGATCCCTTGATCCTCTCTCTTCTCACTTTCCTTCAAGAACGAATCGTGAGATGGTTTCATATGATCCTGATCGTGGAGATGGAATGGATTTTGGCATTGGGGGAGACCACTTCGACACAGTGGGAGAGGAACCATCAAGTGCAGAGGAATGGTACGAGGGCACAGGGACTTGCTACTCTCAGGACGGCACAACCTTCTTGGATATATTCGACGCTGATGAGTATGCAGACTGCAGGAAAGATAATCTTTTTTATCCTTTTGCATCGAGGAACGAGTGGGAAGTTGCCAATTTTCTTCTTCGGTCTCCCCTCAGTATGGCCGCAATCAATGAATTTTTGGCACTCTCGATGGTATGTAATCTTTTGCGCTCGCACTTTTCTTTCTCCTCGCCCTCTTATTGATGATCACCCTTGCAGATTCGCGAACTCAAACTATCTTTCAACAACGCTAAAGAATTACAAAGCCATGCCAAGATGCTCCCCAAGGGACTGAGCTGGAAATGTCAGCTCATTACCTCGCCCCATAGCACAAAACACCCGATCCGACTATTCTGGAGGGATCCTGTTGAGTGCTTAGAGAGTCTGTTCAGCAACCCCCTCTTCCATGACAAGCTCGACTTTGTCCCTCGTCGCGTGTACACTACTGCAGTGCGGGTTCTGCGCGTATATTCGGAGTGGCTGACGGGTGATTTTGCTTGGGATATCCAGGTACGTGCATCTGGGTCTCTAAAATTCACATCATCTCATCATAGGCTCTGCAGAACCAACTACCTAGAGGCGCTACAATCCTTGGGACTGTACTATCTTCCGACAAAACAAACATCACCACTATGACCGGTGCCAGGGTCGCTCATCCACTTCTTCTAGGCCTTGCGAATATCTGCATGTGCACTCGCACCAAACTTTCATCTAGGGCATTCCTACTTACAGCTCTCCTCCCTATCCCACAGTATTTGCACCCAAATCAACAGATGCGGGGTGTGCTCAAAGATCGCCTCATACACAAGTGTCTTGTCATTGTCTTGAAACCGTTGATGATAGCAGCCGAGATTGGGATCATGATGTCAGATCCGGTGGGCAACGTTCGTCATTGTTACACGCCTCTTGCAGCCTACATTGTCGACACCCCCGAGGCATGTATGCTTGTGTGCGTGCGTGGCAAAACTTCCCTGTTCACCATGGCATCATATCTTGAGTTCGGGGATGATTTTCGTCATCCCGAATGTACTCGCTCTGTCACACTTGAACAGCTTGCAAACATCGAGGCCGACCCCAATAACCTTGAAGCTTTTTTTGAAGCATGCGCCGAATACCGGCTTAACGGCGTTCATGCACCTTTCTGGATGTACTGGCCGTATGCTGATCCCTCAGTCTTTCTGACGCCAGAATCTCTGCACCACTGGCATAAGGAATTTTGGGATCACGACCTTCACTGGTGCCTTGTAGCTGTTGAAGCGCTGGAACTTGATTTTAGATTCTTGATTTTGCAGCCAATCACAGGCTACCGCCACTTCTCTTGTGGAATCTCAAAGCTCAAGCAAGTCACAGGGAGAGTTCACCGTGATGTTCAGCACTACATTGTTGGCTTAATCGCTGGTACAGCCCCTCGTCGTTTTGTAATAGCGATCTGTGCCCTTATGGATGTCCGATACATGGCGCAATCCCCTTCTCCCGATGATAACATACTGACATCTATCGACCAATCGCTCTTGATATTTCATCAGAATGAAGATGTCATCATGTCATTGGGCGCACGGATGGGTACTAAGAAACCAATCGACAACTGGTTTATACCCAAGCTGGAGCTAATGCAGAGCATTACTGCTAGTATGCATAAAGTCGGTGCTCTCATTCAATGGTCTGTGGATGCTACCGAACACGCTCACATATCTGAAATCAAGGATCCTGCGCGACACACCAACAATAATGATTACGATCCGCAAATATGTCGTCACTTGGATCGATTGGAGAAGCTATGGCACTTTGAAATTGCCACAACGCTAAAGAGTCATGTCATTGATCCTGGTACCGAAACCAAGGATGAGGGGGGCGAGGAAGAGGGTACTGCATGTGATGATGAAGAACCAACTGATCCATGAAGTGCGCTCCTAGAGGAGCTCGATTGTACACGCATTACTACTAACTATTTCAACAGGGCCAAGGATATAATTACTCTGTCGCATCAAGCTGGCATTTACCCAGGCCTGCCTCGAACATTTACCACTGGTAATGTTGCCACCCACCTGAACTTCAATCCAACCCGCACCGGGATGAAACTTGATGACGTCTCCGACAATTTCAACCTACTGGACCTCTGCCATGCTCTTTCGGCCTTCTTACAACGTGATATGAGGAACGGAAACATGATCCATGGAGTTGGGGTTCTAAGAAGATCACTTATCGACCGTCCTCCAATTCTTCCCTTTGATCGAGTTCAAGTATGGCACACTGTTCGCTTACAGCATGTTTCATACCATGATTCGAGTGTTGCCTTACTGGCCCAAACCTTGCACGCCTCTCCTTCATCCCCCGAGTGGTTGAAAGGCTGAAGGGATGCTGTCCTTGTGAATATTGATGGACAGTATGAATGGCCCCAGTCCGGGTTAAAAGGTGAGCACTTTTCTACTCATCAATTTGGCCTATATATATTGACCCCCTCAGGGCACACCATCTGCGAATTGCAGCTCATTGTGCGCCCGATGCCTTGACGAAGTTCTCGTATTGGATGGCGAGACCAGTACCTGTGTTATGTCCATAACATGAAGATTGGTGCAGTTGACCCTGTAACTGGAATGCACGTTGTGAAACGTGCTAAGCACACCAATGGTTCTCCAGTGGGTGATATAGTTCCCCTTCGGCAAGTTTATGTAGGTCAAGTCTACATTACTACGCATGCAACACGACACTAGCACGATAAACACGACGTTTGCGCGACGCACGCGACATAGGCAACACAAACACGACATAGGCAACACTTGTGCGACTTGCACGCGCCTTAGGCGAACTTTCCCGTGCCTGACTTCCCACAGCCTATTCCCATGTCCAACCAAGTTCCCAGGTATGTATTTCTCCATTTATCATTTATTTCATTATTGTACCATGTTTATTTTACACTTTACACTTTACACTTTACACTTTACCTACCATCATCATCTGCAAAAACCCAGCACAAAATGACTCACCAGTTGGATTCCTAGATTTACAACAGTATGAAGGCTGAATTTTTGATCATGTGTAAAGAAAAGATCGTGCAGTGATGGCCTGAGGAGGCCAAGAACCAAAGCATGATATTGTGACTCTCTACCAAACCAGAGAGTGTGCAGGATTCCAACTCCGCATTCAAGTCATTTCAGAATCGTGTATTCGCGCTGTACAGAAGATGGCTGGGTAGTGATGGATTCCCGTTTGATGGCAACTGCATCGTTGTTGATGATGTTCCTAGCATGGTATACAACAGCTAAGTGGGGTCCATAGTGTGTTAATGTTTTTTATAATTGTAGTCAGCTTGTGAATAACATACTGTATGAACCAGATCCTAAAACTTCTCCAAGTCTGAACATACCGTCAACTCATATCGGAAGCTTAGGGTTCATGGTTAGTATGCTGTGAGATGCCTTGAGCCTCGAGGCCTTGAGGAGTAACAGTGAAACTAACCGGAAATGAGACTTCAACACATATTTATAAACCAGCTTGAGCCGATGTTGATTTTTTTTGGCTCACAGTTAGTTCGTGGGACTCCAGATGGCTAACAGACCAAACCAAACTGTACATAAATAGCCTGGCTCACTAAAATAGCCAAAATACAAGCAAACTGATGAACACCAAGCTGGAGTGGGCTGCAGCCAAGCTGCAGTTGTACTAGCCTTAGTACCTAAACCAACATGGTATCAAATCAGGTTATGAGGATCCACACATCCACTTAATGTCTGCATTTAGTTGAAAACAGATCTGCTTCTGATCTGATTAGGTAGGTAATGTATCAGTAAACTGTCCTGCTAGCCTCCCCCAGATGCTCCCTGGCCCTTGGTAGTACCCTCCACCACCCTCAGGCTACTCAGCCATGTATGAGTTTCAAAGCCAGCCTCAGAGACACCCCAGCAGTGCTCCTAGCCAAGTCAATAATGCACGCAAGTATCAACAACCAGTAGGAGAAACATACCAGCCATAAATATCCCCACTGAACATCGGGAACCAGTCACTACCACAGTTGCCTCAATGCAATAATTTCTTCAGCCCTGTGCCTCGATTCAGAATAGGCAGCACGTAGCAGGGTGCTGGACGTGCATATCAAGATCTGAGTCAGTTGAATGAAACCCCAGGACTTCATTCCTCCAGCCCACAGCACTCACCTCAGGATATACACCAGCCATCTTCATCTCCCTACCCTTATTTAAGTGCCCACTAGCCACCCCCACAGTCCATGCGCTGAAGAAGAGGAATCTGAACTGCAGGGAAAACACAGATGCGAAGACGAACACAGTAAGTCCTGAATGCGAGATATAGCTCGACCCGAGGACAGCTACTGAGTGAAGGGAATCCTCTCTATGTGAGGGATACTCAAGTGCTGTAGGGCATGTAGACCTATGCGCGAGGGGCGAGACATGAAAGATGAACTATAGGTGAATGCACGCGAGTGCGAAGCATGAGATGGTATGCATGAAGTGGTAACTCGCATGGATGTGATGTATGGGGTCAAACACATGAGGTGAAGATGCGCGTGTAGGTTTTGGTGGGTAAAGATAAAGACACGTGATGTGCAGCTTAAGCAAATGTAAGATGACTGCTGAGAGGAGGATAGCAGAGAGCTTGTAGAGGCGATCGTGCGAAGTGCGAAAGAGCAAGACAAAACAATAGAATTTTAGATTGTAGCTCTACTGTGCAGTGGGAGTAAGTGGGTGGAAAAATCGACCCGGAATCTGAAAACATATGTAGATTATATGTAAGGATTCAAGCGTCGCTAGGCGCGTAAGTTCGAGTGCACAAGCCGAGTAAGATAATTATAGACATGAAAATATGTAATATGAGTTCATATACGCCCGAAGCGCGACAGTGCACACAACAATCCAGATATGGGTTAGACAAAAGGAAATAGTATGGGAAAATGCACCAATAGACTCCAGTGGGACATGGATGGTTGGATGGATGGACACGGAGACAGGTGAACGCGCGGATGCACAATAGTACAGACGCGCGTAGTGCGCGTGCACAATTTGTACCTGTAAAGATATGTAGGTGCTGTTGCGCATGAGGCTGATCATCTGGATGAGAGTAGAGCGGTGTGTAGGAAGGGGTATAATGCATGATTGTACGCCTGGCGAGATGCAAGTCTCTACAGCGCGCTGGTAGTGTGCCTCAAAACATTAGCGCTACACCATCCTCTAGAGGAGAAACATTGTACCATCATAATTCCGGTCATCGTCCTTTTGTGGGAGGCTCAGGAAGCGAGGTATCTTTGTGGGCACCCTCTGTAGTGCCTGGAAGTGACGAGTATCAAGCTATGCTGTTATATTTGACAGCTTGACAGACTGCTCACCTTCCACACATGTATCAGTGACCTGCAACAGATTTGCAAGACCAGTCAGCAAATATCAACATGACAGTTGCACACCTTGTCGCAGAGGTGAAACAACTCACCAAACATGCCCAACAGACTGATAGGCTGCTTGATGCTGCAAATGGAGCCCCTTCAGTGACAAATTCCATATCATATGGGCCACCCGACCTACATAATATCCCATATCAGATGGGCCAGTGGACCATGGGCCCATGTTGTGTATATCCTTGATGATGACGGATGGGCTGGGAGTACAATTATTTCTGATGTGTACGGGTGGGCCCATGTATGCCAATGATATATATATTGTTGATGTTGACAGATGGGCCGGGGAAATATGATGATTCTTGATGTCAGATGGTTGAAAGCTAAATGTTCACCTGTCTGTCCTTTCAAGAGCAAGGGTTGTTGCATGGCTCATCTTCTTTCACAGCAAGATGACTTTGCAAACCAGGAGTCAATGCTCAAGACTTTGATCAAGAAGACAGGCCACCTATGTATCTTTTTGCTGAAGTTCCATTGCGAGTTGAATCCCATTGAAATGGTGAGTGGCCTGTCAAAGGTAGATTCAGATGCTGAGTTTGTTGGTAGTACTGGGGCTGGTGCAAGTACCGATACCGATGAAGGATCTTCAACTCAGCTGAGGGTGCAGCTGATATAAATGTTGAAGTGAAGAGTAAGAGTGCGATAGGCTCGTCCCTTAGGGGATGCAAGAGAAAGCTGGTGTCCACTGGAATGATCAACTCTATGGGGAACACGCGAAGTGCGCAATAAGGCGAAAGGTGCAGGAACAAAGGCGCTATAGGCACACGAAGCGCGGGAAAGTCGCGCATTGTAAGGCGGAACTGAGCGAAAGCGGAATGCGAGCAATAGCGAGACTTAATGATGCATTAAGGTGTGAGGTGCGATGTGGATGTAACCACTAGAGCTAACTGCTACTAGGGCTTGCGATGTATATTCAAAACATAGTAAAAAACCACTTTGGTCACCCCATTTCGGGTACCTCTTAGGTTATATTATACCTATAAGGGTTTTCACCTAGGAGGTGCTTTTCAAATGGTCTGGCCGATGTTTGTTGGTCTTTCCCCAAGTGCATAGGGTCCAAAATAAAATATGTTGGGCATGGTCCAAGGATCAAAATAATTTTGGGGTGGGAAAGACCACCAGCCAACATTGGACCATACATGCATGGTATTTTCCCATGGTGGAGGGGTGTCAGGGGTCCTCTTACCACCCAATTTTCTGCGCCAAAAAAATGAAAATTTTGTGGCATTTGTGGCCCCTAATATGCAAGCCAATGGGTCATATAATGTCTGTAATGACTATTAGATGTCTATAAGCTTTGAAATAGGATCAGAAAACACAAAATGATTTCATTCACTGCCCCCCCCCCCCCTTTCAGCCCAGGAATCACTCCCCTCTGAAAATGATCACACATTTACCTCGCACCAATATGTCTACAAAATCACCTACGCCTACAGAATCATCACTTGTGGATCACACTATTCAGATATTAATCCACCAATGCCTGGTCTCAGCTACTCGCCCACGCCTACAGAATCATCACTTGGGGATCGAGATATCAACCATGTGTCCGCTAATGCCTGGTCTCAGCTACTCGCCCACGCCTACAGAATCATCACTTGGGGATCACACTATTCAGATATCAACCATGTGTCTACCAAGTAAAGCTCCCACATTTTATTGCATATTATCATTGCCACTCCCCTTTGTTGCACACACCCCCTGCTTCGTGTTCTAACAGACTCGCAAGTAAAGCTCCCACATTGTATTGCATATTATCTTTGCCACCCCCCCGCCATTGTATGACAGACTCGCAAGTAAAGCTCCCACATTTTATTGCATATTATCTTTGCCACCCCCCCTTCATCACACACCCCCCCGCCATTGTATGACAGACTCGCAAGTAAAGCTCCCACATTTTATTGCATATTATCTTTGCTACCCCCCCTTCGTCGCACCCCCCCCCCCCCCCCCGCCATCGTATGACAGACTTGCAAGTAAAGCTCCCACATTTTATTGCATATCCAAGTCTTTGCCACCCCCCCGCTTCATCTTCTAAACAAAATGGTCATTCATTCACTGCCCCGCCCCGCCCCCCCCCCCTAGCCCAGGATCACTCCCTCTGAAAATGATCACACATTTACCTTACACCAATATGTCTATAGAATCGCCTATGCCTACAGAATCATCACCACTTGGGGATCGCACTATTCAGATGTCAACCATGTATCTACCAATGAGGATTGGATAGCCCCGCCATCAATTATGGGATGGACCATATTCAATTAAGGGAAGGACCATCATGGATGGGATAGCCCCACAATCAATTTTGGGAAGGACCAAGGTGGATGGGAAAGGCCCGCAATCAATTTTGGGAAGGACCACGGAGGATGGGATAGCCCCGCAATCAATTTTGGGAAGGACCACGGAGGATGGGATAGCCCCGCAATCAATTTTGGGAAGGACCACGGTGGATGGGAAAGGCCTGCAATCAATTGTGGGAAGGACCACGGAGGATGGGATAGGCCCGCAATCACCTTTGGGAAAGACCATGGAGGATGGGATAGCCCCGCAATCAATTTTGGGAAGGACCACAGAGGATGGGAAAGGCCCGCAACCAATTGTGGGACGGACCATGGAGGATGGGATAGCCCCACAATCAATTATGGGACAGACCACGGAGGATGGGATAGGCCCGCAAACCTTGGATGGGAAAGGCGCGTAATCAATTATTGGAAGAACCATGGTGGATGGGATATGCCCATAATCAATTAAGGGAAGGACCATGGGCAATGGGAAAGGCCCATAATTCATTAATGGAAGGATGCACATGGTCTCCATATACAATTAATTTTTGTTAGATAAATGATTAAAATAAATGATTAATTGTGACATTTGTAGTGACATGTTGAATGTAAATGTGAATAGGGGATATTATATGCAGCGCCTTTTTTTAGGTGTCGATTTGGTAGGTGACGAAGGCATAAAACTATCCTCAACGTCATCAATAAGGTCCTCATCCTGATACCTGTACTCATCAGCTAATGCAACCTCCTCAATCGCATCCATAAGTTCATCATCTCCAACCTCAGAATATGCCGGATCACCGTCCTTGTCACACTCGTCCACCACTCCGACACTCTCGTCGTCATCATCATCCTGGAAAAATGATGACTGCACCTGGTCTCGAGCGGCTCAAAGTAAATCCTCGTTTGTAGGACCCCAACTCTCGACTGGGCAGGCGCAAGGGATCTCTCGAACCTTGTTCCTCCAGATGACACAGATGCACAGAAGTTCCTCTGTGCGGGCCTTGAGGTGGAATGGCATCACGAGATCATTGGCTGCCGATAAATTAAACATCGGTCATGGTATATTCTGAATACATGCACCAGGATCTCTCAACGCAGTCTGGACAGCCTCCCACTCTGCTAACATCCATTCCTGCATCACAGACCGCTCTCGCCTCAAACGAGTCTCTTCCTCAATGCAACGATCCAATTCAAGCTGCAAATGAATACCAGACCTGGTGGCCTCATCCGATAACCATGCCGGCGGGTGCATGCCTTCGTCATCGAGGCCAATATCTTGCCAGATTTCATCGTCCACGTCGAGTAAGAAGATGCCGTCACGAGCAATAAGATGAGGGGGAATAGCAGATGGGGGAGCTCGCCATTGACGTATGAGGGACTGTAGCTGAGTACATAAGCCGTTGTAAGTTGACACCAGTTTGAGAATTGCAGGTTCTCGCCGTTTGATTGAATACTGGGTGTTCAAGCGAAGCTTGTGTTCTGTTGAACAACACATGAGACATGCTGAAAAAGTAAGGCAAAAGAGTAGTAACGTACCATTTACTGTTGCTCGATACAACCTTTCTAGCCTCTCCAATTCAAATTTGCGTTGACGGAGACGGTCCCTAATACGAGTTTTTACTGTGCGAGCATTCAAGCGGATGGTAAGGAAGATGTCGTTCTTCATCGTCATAAAATCGGCCTGTCCTTGCGGTCCAAGGGTAGCCTTACGACGTCGAAGGGTATCTGCAATTTTGGCACGTCGTGACCGAGCGTCGGCGAGCTGCAGATTGAACTCCACGACGTTAGCAACGGCACCTACATAAAGCTGCATCTCTAGCTCACGAACAGAAGTCTCGTGAGCGTCCAGGGTCTTCTCCAGCGCAAGAATAGTGGTAATGACCTCCGCCGCCTTGTTCTTGGATTGCCCTATACAATTTAATCAGTAAGACGGCAAAAACACTGGTAAAACTCTTACGTGGGATGGGTCGCGTCGGGTGAGCAATTTGCGCCTTCCATTCAGCACGAAGGATATCCTCGTTGACGTCTAAGTCCTGTAAACCGTCCAGAGCCACATTCTTCTTAATCTGGCAATGCAGCCATCGCCAATGGAGCCAATGTCCGTAGCCTTGGATGGATTTTGTGTCCAGGTGGCGAATTTGAACATCGAGGACGAAGAGACGTTGGTGGAACTACAGTAGAATTAAAATGAGATATACATGTGAATATAGACTTTCTTACCCCAGAAACGCGTAACGATGGGATGAGTTGCTTGAGAGAACTCCACAATCGTTCGCATCCCTCACCATCAGACAATCCAAAACCCTCGCGCTTCCTCGGATGGTAGATGATCTGACAGGGCCATTGATGGCCATAGGCATGGAATACCGCAACAGCGAAGGATAAGCGTGATAGGGTATTGTCATCGAGAAGGTTCCATTTTCGGCAGCTTCGTTCAAGTTGACATCCGATGTCATAGAGAAGTCCTACAGTCATCTGAGGGGGTATGTGCTTGAACAACTGGTCCAGGAGAGCGAGCGCGTAGTGTTGCTTTTCCCCTGCTGATGTGAGGTTGGCAAGCCAGAGGACACGGTCATGTCTGCATAGAAGGGCCATCAGGCCTGTGTCGGTAAAAAAACGAGTACTTGCCTTTTCACGCTTTTCGTCTGCAGCAACGAAGGATTCTCCGCATCCATTCAACACAGACACTGGCACACGCATCCCTTCTTCATAGCGATCCTCCTCCTCTTGCGCTCTCGAGGCTCGCGTTCGACATCTTTCTCCGCGACAACTGTTTACAAAATCCTCCATCGCTTTGACATCATCGTTCGACAGAAAGAACGTTGGAGTCGGATTAGGAGGGTCGATACTGCTAGCACTGCGAGGATTAGTCGAACACTTTTGAGTAAAGCAGGCATCTATGCAAACAATAATGTCTGGGCTGGTATTGTCAATTAAATACGGTACAATACGAGCTGAGATACAAACTTACATAGAACGAGCATCTGCTTCATGGCAAGTATTGCCTCCGAAACAAAGCAGGCAACGAGAACGAAGGTATTCAGATGGCTGATCGATGAGTGGGATACGTGCCTGACCCCTCCAAACATCGGCGATGATACTAGAAATGTGATTGCGAGCCAAGATGCTCAGCACTCGGTACCAGTGGAAAGTATTGCCGAAACGACGACGCAAGTTATTCTGATGAAAGACTGAGCATCATTGTACGTGAGAGGATTGGAAAGGCTAACCTTGCATGACAACTTGTACCCCATTCCATCTAGAAAGGTTTCCACCGCATCGCACCACGCGGTTTGGTTGGGAGCCTGGCGTACGAAGAGAAGACGGACAAACTCTAAAACACGCAAGTCGACCGCGAGTAAGGGAACGAGAGGAGCGCACAGAAACAGACCGCGACGAAGGAGTTGGAGGGGTACAGGGAAACACGGGCATGTGATGATGTTAATTTCTTTCAATGCTGTAAGATGTGTTAGATACATTGTGAAGAAAGTGAAAAATAACACACCGTCGAAGTGCACACATGCAACTGTGATACTCCGAGTCCTACACCCAGCTTGGCAAACTGCAAGATCTTGCTGAGCTTCTCCTGGTGCATTGGTATAACGTAACACCGAAGTTTGTTGGATATAGGATAGATATGGTACAAGTAGGGACGGAATGACGTCTTCTGACCATCTGCGCCACTGGTTGGCCCTTTTCTGTGAGCTGGTGAGACGACGGCCGATAGGATCGTTGGAGAAATGTAGGGAATCGCTGAAGAGAACCTCATCGGTAATATCTTCTTGTGTGACCGATGTCCTGGACGCAGACAACGGACGGCAGAAGTTTTGCTGCGTGAGGCATTGGCGTCCGGGCAAGACCAACAAGGGAGGCGGGGCAGGGAGATATAGGTTGAGTTTTCTTGTCTGTCGAGGACGTCGCCATGCCGTGTTCACCCAAGGCTCACAGACAATAGTGATGGGCGGCAGAATTGAAGGGCATTCTTCCTGTGTGCAGGAGATCACCTTGGAGGTTGACGGTTCACGACGGCGGGGCTTTGGACGACGAACAGCCATAATGAATGCCGTTGACTCGAAGTCACACGGAAGGCCACCAACGACGCAGAGTCAGTTGGAGGAACTATCCATGGGCGCGCAGTCCGGGACGAGCTCGATCGAGAGAGCCAACGACCAATATCGGGTCCAGAGACGACTGATACTTGACCGGGAGAGCCAACAACCAATACTTGGCCGAGAGAGCCAACGACCAATACTTGACCGAGAGAGCCAATGACCAGGCCGAGAGAGCCAATGACCAATACTTGGAGTGCAAAGGAGAAACAAATCTGAGGGAGATTAGTACTGGGGATATGATTCACTGGCAGACTCCAGGAGTGAATCAGGGTAACGATAACGTCGAATTAATGGAAAAAAAAAAAACTTACTCAATAACGTATCCGCATAGAGACATATGCTGAGCCTACTAATACAAAATACAAAGCAAAACCTTATCTGACAGCGCGTTACGGAGATTAACAGGTAATGGAACATAGTACAATTCGTCATTTATACTAGTAGTAGCGTAGAACGAAAGGGAATAAATGCTTAGTACAAAAACGCTGCAATATAGTATCGATCACAAAGGGATGGAATGGGGAACGATGGGGGGCCTGCCAAAATGACAAAAGAATGTCTGCACATAGAACGCGGTTGCAGAATGCATGACTTCCCAACACTTGGTATCCGTGAAGCTATCTGGCGTCAGTGGCGCAACCAAAAGCGGCAGAGCGTCGTCCCAAGCACAGATAAGTTCTCGGAATTTCTCCAGGTAAGGGAGAACACCAATTAAGGTGTTATTCCACATGCCGTAGTTGTCCTCTGGAAATTGCTCTGACCACATGACTAAACCAGCCTCGCCAGGGAAGATAGAATGAAGAAGCTGCTCGCGACCGATCGGATCATCTGCCCAACGTTTGCGAGCCAGGAAGCGATCGAGGTCCCTCAGCTCATAACAGAAACCAAGCTCGAATAACTCCCATGTGATCCTTTGAGCGAGACGCTGTGGAGGGTTAGCGAGACTGGCAACCAACACTTGTTCGCCACGAAATTCCACCGATCCTTCTCGTGCGAACAGGTCACCCTGAGTCTCCAACATGTCATCCCCAAATAAGTCCCTCATCACCGCCTTGCGCTTCTCCGCCGCTGTAGGTCCCTTCTTTTGGGGATCCTTGCCTTTGGGTGCTGCGCCTTGGGCTGTTGCGCCTTGGGTTGTCAGTCCGCTGCCGAGGAAGTCACGCCAGAGCTGTGGCGAAGGGTAATTGCATGGCGGGTCGTGATCGACTCGGCCAATCCATAGCGGACGACAGGCGAGCCAGGTAGCAATATAACCCTGGAGGCGCTCCAGCAGCTTGGGACCGAGGAGGAGAGCGGGTTCAGGGAATCTGTATCCCCGGTCGATGGCGTAAGGCATGTGGATGTGAGATGGATCCTTGTTGCAAGTCTTGAGGGCATCATCCCAATGCAAAAGAGAGGGCGGAAGATATGGGCTCTCAGGGTCTTTCCACTTGTCCCTGGATTCCCCTGACTGGGAGGGCTGGGTGGGCCGAGCCTCTCTTGCGTCTAATACAGTAGTAAGTAAACACAATGCAAATAGTAAGGGTTCACTTACAAGGTTGTCGCCTATGCTTCCTGAGACTTTGTTGAGGTGCTCTTCCAGCAGCGGATGTTTGAGAGGATGGCGCGAGAGCAGAAGAACTGGGAGTAGAGAAACTGCAGGATGATGCGGACGAGGGAACCGTGACGTCGGGATTTATGAAAGTTGTGCCGCCATACAGGCGACGAACGTGAAGTTGGCACTGGTGGCCACCTTGGCCATGATAAATAATATTGTAAGGGCAGATTCTGTTGCCCTCCGCGTACATCGAGATGACGATGTCATCCGGATGAGTGATCAACACAGGTTTGTGGACCCTCATATTAGCAGGTATATATGCCATCGTGCAGACATACCAGACGGGCACACCAGCCATGTGGAGCTTGTTGCACATGTCACTGTCATGCGTGAAAGCACCCATCCATTCCGAATTGACGATGACAGTCCCGTCGCCAGAGGAGATGCGAGGTTGGGCAATGAGAACCCAATCCATAAAAGAGTGAATTTCGACGAAGAGGCGTTGGGCGTCCGTGACGAAGATGAGAAGGTCGCGAAAGGTCAGGGGATGTTTTTTGAGGCGCAAGATACTGTGTCGAAGAGAGACGACACGATTGACGATGACATCCTTTTTGCCTTGTCGATTGGCCCTCCAGTCTTGTACACGTTTTTCTACTAATTTGAGGAGTGACTCCAGTCCTTCGACCTTGTCAGAGGCAAGCGTGCCTACAGGAAACGAATTGCCTGGGATGGTCTTGAAGTCCTTTTGCTCGGGAGTGTACCACGCCCAGTGAAGCGGGTGTGGGAACGGGTAGGCCTCCTTCCGAAGAATGCAGACAGAATTGCAAAATATGTTGTCATAGGCTTGAGGCCATTGAAAGCAGTCGACGACGCTGAAACGACCATCGGCGCGGGCTTGTACGTTTTCTTCTTCGAAATGGTGGAACTTGGGAACGAATGGCATGTTGGGCGTAGTGATGACTAGATTGTCCTGGACGGCGACGGCGACAGCATCGTAAGATTGTAACCAAGCTGCAGGACGCATGCGCATAAGTAAGTAAGAATGCTAAATGACAAATATTACATACATGCATGAAGTGTCGGGTCACCCTTGAACATCGTCAGAGCGTTGGGCATGATGGAAAACTGTGAAAGTTAGAAAATGTGCTGACAGGTATAAGGCAAACACACCTCAGAGTTTGGTATGGTATGGTGAGAGTCTAAGCGCTGGTCAGTATACGGATTAATGAGATAATGAAAAGGATACTTACCAAAAAGGAAGACGTAGCTAAAGTGACGAGCGCTATAATGTAAGATATGCATCAGGAGACATTGTAGATCAAAGATTTCGAAAACTCACTGATGAGACCGACGAGTGCAAGGTAATTGATTGGCACACCTGAAATATGAGAGGAAGTCTGCAGCAGCGTGTGGCGCACCAGAAATAAGCCAAGTGCGAAGGCAAAGCACGCCCAAGAGGGTCTTCAACCCCACTGGCGCAGCAAAGTATGAGCGACCAGGGCGACCCTCCAGACGCGAAGTCTGGGAGTGGGAGATCAGCGACGCGAAGTCAACTGATCAAGTGAGTGAACGGCACGAAGCCAATTCAAAGGGCCAGGAACCATAGTCTGGATCAATCGCGGTGATGAGCTTGATGGGCTTGACGCATGACGAGCTGAACGATGCGAGTGATGAGGATGCGTGAATGTTGTGGTCTGAGGGCAAAGAAGGAACTTGGAACTGGGGAAGGAGAATGCAGAGAAGGAAATGAGACAATGAGACAAGTGAGAAACAGAAACAAGGTGGGAACTTCCCAATTGAGTCGAGAAGTCGAAGTTTGCAGACGTTTGTGGACTTGTGGGAAAGTCCCACAATTCACAACTTTCACTCTTTCATCCACATCGACAACACTCCGTCCTTTATGCTGTCCTCGCTGCCCTCAATCCCGCCTTCCCCGCCCTAGATCCCGCCTTTCCCGCCCTCGATCTGATCATCCGGCCTTCCACGCCCTCGATAGGTCCAACAACGACGGTTCCTGGCACTATGAATTGGCTTCGTGCCGTTCACTCACTTGATCAGTTGACTTCGCGTCGCTGATCTCCCACTCCCAGACTTCGCATCTGGAGGGTCGCCCCAGTCGCTCATACTTTGCTGCGCCAGTGGGGTTGAAGACCCTCTTGGGCGTGCTTTGCCTTCGCACTTGGCTTATTTCTGGTGCGCCACACGCTGCTGCAGACTTATTCTGTCATATCCCATACTCCGAACCCAACTTCCCATCCCTATCATCATCCATCTTCCTGTTATGCATGTCACACCTCAGTAGGATTAGCCCTGCTACCTCTGTCCATCATCCGATTTGATATCCGGACATCCACAACCATCCGATGCACAGATCCGATACTGTCCGACGTTTCCGGTCCGACGCTATGATCCAATGCATGGATCCATTATGGTCCGACGTATGGATCCATTACGATAACAATCCAATATACAATAAGCTTCGTAATCCCTTTCCTGTTCATATAACGTTATCACAGCCTTTCCTGCTATCGGTAAATCCTTATTACCGGCTTCTCGGTATTCCTTAATTCCCGACTATGTTTCCTTGATCCGTTTTACTTGTGATTAATTCCCGGCTATTGTTACAGTAACGCTGTGCCCCCCTATCTTTTCCCCATCTCCTTGGACTTACGGCCGCGTTGCCTTGTACCTGTAGAGCCTCGGCTCCATTATGCCTTACCATTGACTCGGTTCGTCTTATCTCTGACTCCCGTTGACTCGTACCTTTGATCCGGGTTATCTCTGACTCCCTTCGACTCATACCCTTAACCCATGGACATGCGGCTGCGTTGCCTTGTACTATATCTGGCTACTGCCTACCTTTCTCGGACTTACTGATACCTGACGACCTCCCCTAAAGCTATTCCATTTCCCCTATATATACTCGTCATGTATCGTAGTTATTCTGCACTTTAATCTACTTGGTTTTCGACCCTTGTATCCTGTCTCAGAGGTACCAGCCCTCTAGAAGTCTACTTGGTTTAAACCGCACTTGATCCTCGCTTAGGCTTCACAACCTAAGTGTCTATCTCTGATTCTATCTTCGAGCACTCCTCGTCGATAGCCTGATTATCGTCTGTCTTACAAGGTGCCAGCCCTTGAAGACCGAACCCTTGATCTTACCTCAAAGGTGCCAGCCCTTTAGGTAGTCCAACGAGCTCCGCCTTCTTGTCTGAAGGGAAGAACCCGCTTGCCACAGACATCGTCGTCGACGAGGCTCTCTTCTGAGCCTGTGACAAGAGAACCATCCAAGTTCGTAACAGCTATGTTATTCCATCTGTCCACTCGTGATTTCCTTCCGGCTTCCGTTGATTAGCGATAGACTTTGCTTATACTTCGTACATAGCCTCGAGCCTTAGGCATTTAGTATATAAACCCCTGTACTTACATTGTAACACCTCAGTTCGAATATAAAAGTTATTCTCCATTCAAGTTATTTCCATCTCTCTTGTCTTAGGGATTGAGTCCCTTATGCTCTGGCTCTACCTTTCGGTAGTCTTTCCTTATGCTCCGATACTTTCGGACCTCGTCCGATAGTCAATCCTTGTCCATCCTTATCCTAAGCTATTCCGGACTATGTCTGATAGCTATTCCTAGTCTTTCCTTATCCTTAGCTATCTGGGACCTCGTCCGATAGTTAATCCTTGTCTTTACTTAACCTCCGCTACTTTGGACCTTGTCTGATAGTTACTCCTTGTCATTCCTTATCCTTGACTATTCTGGACTTCGTTCTGATAGTTCTACTTTGTCCTTTGCTTATCCGTAACTATTCCGGACTTCATCCGGATAGCTATTCGTTATCCCCCGCTTATCCGTGACTATCCTGGACTGTGTCCAGATAGACATCCCTCATCCTGTGTTCCTCCGGACATCCTTCGTCACACTTCCTCTGGTCCGATCTCGGACATCCCATCCTGTTCCTTTCTGCTTTGGACATAGTCCGCTGCAGCCTTTCCTCTGTTGGTTTCTACTTGGGATTTATCCTGAAGTAGTCTTTAACTCTTTCCACACCTCTGGACTTGTTCTAGGTAGCCTTCCTATTTCCGGACGTACGTCCGGATTTAGTTCCCACGCTTCGGATATGGTCTCGGACGAGTTCCTGCAGTTCCGGATATCATATCCGGACTTTCCCATGCTTTCCGGAAGTCCTCTGGGCTCTTCCACTAGAGTTACCTTACCTTCGGAGTTCAACTGAACTTCGTTGGATGTGTTCTGGACTTCATTCCGAAATGTGGGGCACGTACTCGGGTAAGGGGCACAGCGTACGAGCTGAGGCCAAGCCCTTCCTTCCTAATCCGACCCTCCGGCATGGTTTCTAACATATTCTCATATTTCAGGTGTGTCAATATCTCACTCGTCAATCTAACTGGTGAGTTTTCGATATCTTTGATCTACAATGTCTCCTGATGCGCATCGCACTTTACCCACTATAGCCCTCGTCACTTTACGCCACTTTCAAATCTCATCTCACACGTTTATCTACGACATCGGTGAGTCGCATTTGCACTTCATTTATATGAAAACATTCCATTCACACGTCAACAGAGGATATCGTTTTCTTTCAACCACCCAGCTACTCGACATACTGTTAAGACTTTGCTAATCAGTACTTTATTCATCTGCGACAAGCGCATAGACGTGACTGTTTAGGATACCACTATCGCCCAGCTGATGTGATCAATGTCACAAGTATCTGCGCCTGAACAGCCACCTCCACCTCACGCTTACTCGCCCATCTGTTGGCCAAACTGTACGTATAACTTACGTTCTTGTTGCCATATTATAAAATCCTGATTTATTCTTAGGAAACAAGCACCTTTCGCATCTCTCAACGTTCATCAACTAGTGGCTGGTGCTCGACAAGGTATATTTTACATGTTCCGCTGTACAATTAGCGTCTGACTTGTTCTTAAGCAACTGACAGGGTTGGGTGTGCCTCTGACCGCTGATCGACCAGCAATTTGTCTTCTCAAAACGTAAGTTCTCAAAACAGTTAGGTTTAGCCAATCAGTCAGATCCGTCCCGCTCATTTTTGTATTAGTCAGGGTCAGCTGAGTCTTTCATTGGCCAATCTCTCCGTCAGGGTTGTATATCAGTGGGCCTCGACCTCTCCTGAGATCCGAGTGTTGCTCTGTATGTGCTCACTACCGCTGATCTGTCCGCTAACTTTCCTCGGCTGCCAGACACGGTTCTCATTGGCTCGTCTCCCAGCCAGCGATGCACTCGTTCCATTTTAGTCAGTCTCAGACTTGACCAATCTAAAGGATCGGGCACTGTACGTAGCTACCACCTCCAATCCACCATTCCAGTAAGGCCAAGGTCAATCTTTTTTTCAATTATTGAGCGCTAACCAGGTTTAGCTTCAGTGCTGTACCCTAGCGTTTATGGCAACAATGTCTGTAGTTCAAACTATAAAGGTAATGAGTCTCTCGATTTCGAGTGCGTCAAATTCCACTTTCTCAATCCAATATTGTTTGCAGTTCACCATCTTCTACCATCCATACATCGTCTGACTTCGTGTCGACCAAATATTGTTGAGCAAACTTCGAGTTCTCAACTTGTATTCTACATATCTCCATGATCGTAGGAACTCTATCGTTTGACTTGAAAATGCCCGCTGTTACTACCCGCTCAGGTCGTCATGTCAAGCGTCCCCTTCTGCCTGATGAACCCAAGGTATTCTTTATATTTTCTTGACGTCTGTAGTAGCTGACTCCTGTCATGTCAAGACTCGCAGCAAGGCAGCGGACATTCATACTGAGTCTGATGCAGACACCATCCAGGTAAGTTATTTTTTTCAAAGTTTGTCAACCATGATTGATTTTTCATTACTTTAGTCCCCCCGGCCTCGAAGACGCTGTAGAGACTCGTGCATCTCATAGTGTGATATGGCGCTTTACACTAGGGAGTATACAGCACCAACTCGCAGCATCACTCTGTGTACCATCCACAGTGATTCCTATATGACGCGCAGCTTTCCCGCGCAACGCGCGCCATGCGCGCACCATTCCCGCGCTTCACGATGTATACGCGCGTGCGCGTTCCCGCGCTTGCGCGCCCTATAGCGCCAGCCATCCAGATGCATCCATCCACTGTCCACCAAGCTCCCTAGTGCGTATATTTCCATTTCCTTTATTAGCATAGTTCCACCTTTATTTTTATCATAGTTTCTCACTCATATATATTTTTACATACCTACTCGGTAGCGCTTCGGCTCCGCATGAGCGCGCTTAGGCGCGCTATATAAGCGCCAGCAGTACATACTATTATTTACCTTACTTTTCACCCAACTTTACCTAGTACTTACTACTTAGAAAGTCGCAGTAGAAATCTATTCATTAGCACAACACATCTCACATCCTTTATCTTGCTTATATCTTCACATAAGTTTAGTCTCTCTTATTTCCGCTTACACGCGCGCGCTTTCCCGCGCTTCGCGCTAATACGCGCGCGCGTTCCCGCGCCTTCGTACCTTGCGTGCACCTGCGCTTTCTCACGCTTCGCTGAAGCGCGTACCTCTAGATCTCCGCTGCACCTGCTTCCCCTTTAGGGTCGAATGCACTTGCCATCTCAAGTATCGCAGACTAGGCAACGCACGACCTACAACTTTTTAGATACAGTCAGGAGCATTTCTTTGTTCCTCTCAGTATTGTTGTTTCTACAACTGGAGCCCACCGCGAGGGGAGCAGTCAGCAAGATCTAGTTCCGCGCATTTCGCGCATACAGGTCAATATCTTTGCATTTCAAAAGCTAATCATTTTCTAGTCACGCATTCTCGTGCCTTGCGCGCGCGCAATATTCCCACGCCTGTGCGCCTCGCGCGCGCACCTTTCTCGCACTTCACACTATTTAACGCATACAGGTCAATATCTTTGCATTTCAAAAGCTAATCATTTTCTAGTCACGCATTCTCGCGCCTTGCGCGCGCGCTTTCCCACCCCTATACGCCTCACGCGCGCCTGCGCTCTTTCACACTGCAATGCCTTATAGAATGCCCATCCGCGGCACAGCAAACGCGCCCAAGTTCGACGGCACTACAGACAACCTCGCCGAGTTTATTGATACCTATGAGCAGCTCGCTGATGAAGCAGGACTCCAAGGACTCGACCGCATCAAAGGTATTATCCGCTACCTTGAGCGCGACGATCGAGAACTATGGGGCGGAATGCCTGAAGCGCAAGTAAGCGATTACGACGCCTTCTTAGACGAGGTAAAGGTAATGTATCCTGGATGGGATGGTAAAAGACGCTATGCGCTTGCGGACTTGCGCGCCATCGCGCGCGAATACGCTAACAAACCAATGTCTTCTTGCACAGAACTAAGCAATTACCTGCGCGCATTCAGGAAGATTATGCAGCCACTCATGGATGAAGACCGTATTGGAAAGGCCGAACGCGACCGCTTATTCATGGAAGGAATCCCTAGCGATGCTCAGGCGCAAATCCGCTTGCGCCTTATGATCAAATTCCCTGACCACCATCCATACGACCCCTACCCATTCATGGACGTCTTTGCAGCTGCGCAGTTCCTATTACCTGCGCGCGCTTTTCCCGCGCCAAGCGCGCCAGTTAGCGCGCCCATAGTAGCGCCAATTGCTACCTTAGTCACAGCAACTGCGCCAGTGCAAGTTAAGGTGGCTAAGTGTAAAGATCGCTATCATGCAAGCCGCGCAATGCAGGATATGACCATTAGCACTAATGCGACAGCTGGACTCTTCTATCGCACATCCTCAGAAGCTGTACTTGACAAAAGGCCACCAGTTCCTATTCACGCGCCTCGTGCGCGCGCCTTTCCTGCGCCTTCGCGCGATTCACGCGCACCTCAACCATCAACTGCACCAGCATGCAAAGCCATACCAGAACGCACCACTTTAGATCACGAACTCGAGCGCGCGCTCGCGAAGCGCAACCAGAAGCGCACTGCAGGCGCCTCTTCACCATCATCTTCATCAGCACCATCTCCTTCACAATCCGCATCATCACCATCACCATCAACCTCGCCAGTAGTCAGGGATGACTCTAAACATCTATTGCACACTAACGCGCCAGTTGAAACACGCGCACCTATCGCTACCACCTCGCCAGAAGTCAGGGATGACTCTAAATATCCATTGCACACTAACGCACTGCTAGAAACATGCTCGCCCCTCGCTATCACATCGCTTAAGGAAGAAACCTCGCCAATCGCACCATCGCCATCACCGCTATCACCACTCGCATCATCAGAGGTCAGGGATGACCCTAAACATCTATTGCACCTTAGCGCGCCTATAGAGGAGCCTCCTACCGCATCAGAGGCTCAAGTTGCACCTTGCATCAACCAGAGTTTGCCTCTGGTAACTCCAATTGTCACTAACGATTGCGCGCATGTCGCGCTTTTTGCTTCCAGTGACTATCGCGCACCGGTAAAACATCCGTGCATCACGCTGCACAACCACCAAGCAGAGCATGTCTCAGGCGACCCTGGCGCAACTCAGGCGCACCATATTGCGCCTGAGGACGCACAATGCGCGCGCCTAGAGGCATTGTATATTTTTCCTCATCTTGTTTCGCGTTTTCTGTCTCTTTCATGTTTAAAGCTCTTAAGGAGCTATATGATGCTTCCAATCACTGTAACTTCATCTTTGCACCACCCCTTATTCACGCGCCATGATCATGCGCATCGCGCAATATGCGCGCGCGTTCCCGCGCCTCGCGCACTCATAATTTTAGCAGAGTTTTCACGCTACCGCATTTCTATCGCTTCTCCCCTTCTAAACCGCATTTCTATCATTCAACACAAAGTATATTTCAATCAGCCATCCAGGCGCGACTTAGGCGCGCGCCTGACACATACATATGCGCCTAACTCCCCTATCATCATCTTTAACTTTGCACTTCCCACATTTATTCACATTCTGCGCGCTTTTGCTTACCATGTCAATTTCATTCCTGCGCGCCTTGATGCGCACTATTCTCCTTCACCTATGCGCCTATTGCGCCTTGATATACCACCCTTACAGCCCATTGGCGCAACATTTGCGCCTAATTCTTCACTATACATGTCTCTCGCTAATGCATTTGCAGAGAAATGGCCGTTCCTCGCGTGTTCGGCCAATGTAATTAAATTCGCGCGAAATCGCACCAAGGCGCGCACATCGCGCGAAATCGCACCAAGGCGCGCACATCGCGCGCATCCTATCAGCTTGTAGGGCGCCCCTACACCCCTTGCAGCGCCTCCCATTGGCGCGCCTTCAACCTGCAGCGCGTTGTGCAGGAATTCATTCTGCCAGTTACAAGCCCCCCCCAAGCGTGCCAGCCTCGCTCATTCCAACCCTACCTTGGGTAAAGCGTCAGCTCGCAAGAGACGCGAAGCGCGCTAGTCACGCGCACTCGCACGCGCTCAAGGAGGAGGATCAAGCACCTCAGCCGCGCATGAAAGAACAACATATAGCATCGCTGTTTCATAGGATACCATTTGTTTTACCCTGGGTTTCATCCAGCGCTCTTTCATTTTATTTTCTCTCATTATAACGCCATCCAAAGAACTAATAACTCGCTGATATATATGCATATAGGAATCACTTAGAAGAACATAGAAGAAAAACAATCATAGAACGTGCCCGCCTAGCTCAATAGTATATTTTCTCTTCGCATGCATGACGCGGCACCATGCTCCTTTTTACCTTAGAACGCGCACATATGCGCGCAGTCTTCCCACGCTCACGCGCACATACGCGCGCAATATTCACGCGCCCATACGCCTCGCGCGCGCACACATGCGCGCTTCCTGCGCCTCGCTCATAGGAAGGTGTAGATGTCGACAGCCGCACGAAGAAGACAAATCGGATAGGACATCCGCAAAGTTTACCATTTTTTCCTTCGCATTTTCACATATAGTTTTACTCACACTGTTCAAACCTTACCACCTAATATTTAGCGCGCCTAGCAGGACTTGGTTTGGACTTGGATTGGATCGCTCTTGGACCGCACCACTTCGCATCATACGCACAATACAACACATGCGACACTCACGCGCTTTCTCGCGCCTTGCGCGTGCGCACTTTCTCGCGCTTTATGCCATATGCGCGCCACATCCATATCACTCTCACATCATTGCCTCACACCCAGGGAACACTATTCACACCAGAGTCACCCTTGCAATTCGCCATGCTACGCTTCATTCCCACGCCTTCACGCATAGCGCGCGCACATTCTCGCGCCTTGCGCGTACCATGCGCGCAACTTCCCACGCTTCACGCACATCCACGCAATAATTCCTGCACTTGCGCATTCATCGCCCAACGACCCAAGCATCATACAGGCATCGCGCACACATACTATCACGCAAAATCCTCACCATGCGCGCGCTGAGTGGGGACACTCAGAATTTAAGTCCCTGGGAGATGTAGAGACTCGTGCATCTCATAGTGTGATATGGCGCTTTACACTAGGGAGTATACAGCACCAACTCGCAGCATCACTCTGTGTACCATCCACAGTGATTCCTATATGACGCGCAGCTTTCCCGCGCAACGCGCGCCATGCGCGCACCATTCCCGCGCTTCACGATGTATACGCGCGTGCGCGTTCCCGCGCTTGCGCGCCCTATAGCGCCAGCCATCCAGATGCATCCATCCACTGTCCACCAAGCTCCCTAGTGCGTATATTTCCATTTCCTTTATTAGCATAGTTCCACCTTTATTTTTATCATAGTTTCTCACTCATATATATTTTTACATACCTACTCGGTAGCGCTTCGGCTCCGCATGAGCGCGCTTAGGCGCGCTATATAAGCGCCAGCAGTACATACTATTATTTACCTTACTTTTCACCCAACTTTACCTAGTACTTACTACTTAGAAAGTCGCAGTAGAAATCTATTCATTAGCACAACACATCTCACATCCTTTATCTTGCTTATATCTTCACATAAGTTTAGTCTCTCTTATTTCCGCTTACACGCGCGCGCTTTCCCGCGCTTCGCGCTAATACGCGCGCGCGTTCCCGCGCCTTCGTACCTTGCGTGCACCTGCGCTTTCTCACGCTTCGCTGAAGCGCGTACCTCTAGATCTCCGCTGCACCTGCTTCCCCTTTAGGGTCGAATGCACTTGCCATCTCAAGTATCGCAGACTAGGCAACGCACGACCTACAACTTTTTAGATACAGTCAGGAGCATTTCTTTGTTCCTCTCAGTATTGTTGTTTCTACAACGCCCCCGTGCTCATCGTCGCGCTGGGCCTAAGAGTGTTATGGTCGGCGACGACAACGATGACGACGATCCACAAGAGGTAAGCTATGTCTGCGAATATGTCGGTGTCCCCACTTACTTCTTAGTCATCTACAACTCGTCGTCGTCCTCCACCCAAGCCTCGTCCGCTTGCATGGTCCAAACGTTCTGGCCCCATGACCTCATCCGCTGAGGAGGAGATTTTCGAGGCCAGTTTTTCCAGGCGCTCATCAATGATTCAAAAGACCCCCGATGTCGATACAGATCAACAATCCTCCCCGTCTCATGTTCGACTTGCTGATGGCACTTCATTGACATGTGCCAAATTCGACTCTCTTGCAGATGAAGAATTATGCGCTGACACCCAAGATGGCGATGTAGAAACAAGTACAGTTTTTATTGTGATGTGAATGTCCTGTATTGACTTGTTGCCTAGCAGCTCCTGCATCGGTTGCTGAAGCACATGGCACTACTGCAAGCAAGGATCCAAATCCTGCCTCTGAAATTCAATCAAACGATCCCAATGGTGGGACTTCAGGTGAGATAGTCACTCTTTCGTATTTCATAGCTTCACTGATTGTGAATACAGCTACTCCTACTGAGTCGCACAACACAGGGCATGGAAGCAAGGACCATGGCAAGGATACTTCAGGTGAGCCATAGACATTTGTCTATATATCCAGTACCTCAACTAATTGTGCATACAGCTGCCTGTGCTGAGTCACACAGCGCAGAGGATGGCAGAAATAATTCTGCTACTCCTGCTACTGGCCGCCCGCGTAGGTCATGCGGCATCAAGTCATATGCACCTGATCGTAACGACGGTGAAGAGAGCTCTCCATCTGACAGTGACTGGGCTGCCGACCAAGAGCTGCGCAAGAAAGCACAACGAGCTGCTGTTGATGCCGCTGCAAACGATGGTGACGACGATGAGGCTGTCCCTGCAAGCAACTCCCCGTCTCCATCTCGGTTGACGGCCACACAAAAGCAAAAGTCCAAAGTGGTGGTGGACGTCAATGAAAACAACGACAGCGAAGACGAGGACGACGAAGACTTTGTGAAGATCAAAGGGAGAATACCTCAAGCAGGTATCTCAAAGGCGCAGGAGCTTGGAAAGAATACGTTGGAAGCCGCCAGAGAAATTGGAAAAGAATATGGGAAGAGTGTAAGGACGATCCTCATTGAAGCAGGGTTGACGATGAAGGCAACCCGGAAGGAGTCTCCGTGGAACCAACATTAGACGTGGTTCGCAGCCACCTGCCCCCCGCCTAAAGGAGCGTCGGGAGCTGTGTCGCCAGGTATGTTGCAGTTTTCATTATTGATTTATTAATGCTAATGACTTTTGCAGCGGATCTTAAGGCTTGGAAGGTGAAGCAACGAGCTCACTACAAGGCCCACCCGCATGGTGACCCTCAGCACGCATCAGTGTGGAAGGAGATCCTGGAGAACTGGGATCATGCTGTCGTGGGTTCAACCGAGGACCTTACATCACGATCTGCTGCAGGTCTGATGATGGCTGTTCGTGATGCTTTCACAAAATCGGTAAGTGTTGTATTCATCCAATCTTGATCCAGAAAATAACTACGATCAAGGCTGCATACTGGCATCGCACCCATGGCATTCACATTGCCGGTGTGGCAATATTCCCTGGTGACGAAGAGGCAGGCCGCCAAGCATCAGGACTGTTCGCCGGCTCTGACATGGTCAAGGCCCTCATCAACTCACACCAACTGGATATCAAGCGTTGGCTAGATGAGCTCACCACTATCCTTAAGTGCGTCTTGTATTATTTATAGGTGTCTGTGCTAAATTACTTCCAGGTACAAAGACTTGGAGGCCGCACACGCCGAAGGCAAGACGTTCAGTTTACTCCCCCCTTCTTCCACCACTCCGAACGGTACCCTCTTGTGTAATGGCAAGCCAGCCAGGGATAGGAACAGAAAGGTGGCGCCCATGATGATCAGTGAGAAATTTGGTACATTTGTGAATTGAGTGTATTTCTACTGTACTAACTACATGCTGTATAGCTGAGGCTGGCCACCCGCTCAAAACCTCGAACAGTAGGTGGTTGACCATGTTGGACATCCTGTATGCCGAGAAGCTTTGCATACATGATTGGCCCACTGGTGTTCCCCCGCCTGGCCCCGATTTTGATCTCAAGGCTCTATCTGCAAGTCAACTACGTGCGTTGGTTGCTCCTTATCTCAGGATTCATCTCGGAGCCATGTACGAGGCCGAGTTAGGCCTTGACGACGACGACGACGACAGCGAGGCAGAGGCAGCGAAGGCGAAGAAGCGCAAAGGCAAGTCCAAGAAGTCAGGCGACAAAGGAAGGAAGAAGGGGCCGATTGCAGAGGAGCCAAGTGTAGTATTGCATATCAGCAGATGGCCTGAAAGTACGTATTGGATACTGCAAATCATACACAAGCTGATATCACAATCACAGGTGATATTCTTGCTCTTGAGATGCAGGCCTCAAACGCGTGTCTCATCCCCCTCATCATCGACACTGACGGCAGGGTCGTTCGCGCCCTCCAAGACTCGGAGAAGTTCATCAAGGACCTTCCAAAAGACGACACTCCTAGACGCCGCACCAATGAGGTAATCAAATAACCCACTATCTCTAATCCAGCAGCTTCGCGCTCAACTATTGAAGCTTCGCGCTCAACCATTGGAGCTTCGCGCTCAACCATGGGAGCTTCGCGCCCCAATCAGACAGCTTCGCGCTTCAACAATGCAGCTCCGAGCTCCAATCGTGAAGCTTCGCGCTCTCACCAATATACTAACCGAGCTATCCATGAGGATCTCCCACCTTCATCGCCGCCTTCATCACCACCCCAGGAAGCCCCACGCTCGCGTCACCCTACTAATCGAGTCTTTGACGACCTCCCGCCTTCGTCACCGTCAACACCATCTTCGCAATTCTCGTCTCCCCCTCCTATTTCACGCTCGTCAACTCCAGTGCCAACTTCAGATTATTCGCACGTCCGGTCCCACTCTTGATACAAGCCGTCCCGCAATGGAGCACTTCGACATCAACATGCATATGACGATGTTATGCCAACATACCATTCAGATATTCGCAAACGGACTCGACCCCATTATGAATCAGACCCTTCAGTCACTTTTACTGCACAACCTGTTGATAGGATGTGTACATTGGCCTGCAAAACCTGTCATACAGGACACCGGCCGGTCTATGCAAGTGCTGTATAGGCCGGTCATGCAGAACCCATGTAGGCTGATGCCTCATAGAAAATGACACAGGGCCGGCCGGTGGGCTTCTGCACTATGGTAGATCAGGCCTGCCACCTTTGTAGTTTGTGGAGGGTGGTCGGCCGGCTGGGAAGTTCCTTTAAATTGATCGGCCAGCCACCCCAAGCAGTATGTATAATATGGTTGGCCGGTGGTGTAATTTGTGTGGGGTGGCTGGCCTACTGATTATGATTTATTTTGAACTGATCAGCCACCCTTCCCTCACAGTGTGCACATCAGGGCCGGCCGGCTGACCATTTGATTTGAACTGATCAGCCAGCCTCACCATGCAACATGTACAACTGGGTCGGCCGGTGGGCTTTTACACTATGGTGGATCAGGCCTCCTACCTCTGCATTTTGCATAGGGTGGCCAGCCGACTGACTATTTAACTTGAACTGATCGGCCAGCCTCACCATGCAACATGTACAACTGGGTCGGCTGGTGGGCTTCTACACTATGGTGGATCAGGCCTCCTACCTCTGCATTTTGCATAGGGTGGCCAGCCGACTGACCATTTTATTTCAACTGATCGGCCAGCCTCACCATGCAGTATGTATAACTGGGTCAGCCGGTGGGCTTCTACACTATGGTGGATCAGGCCTCCTACCTCTGCATTTTGCATAGGGTGACCGGCCGACTGACCATTTTATTTAAACTGATCAGCTAGCCCTTTCAATGCAGTCTGTATGACAGGACCGGCTAACATGCTTCTTACTTGATTAAGCTATCCAGAATTTTGTTGGTTACATTAACTTCACAAAGAGCTTATAAATTGATGTATGTAGTTTATTCTACTATATTGTGACTATAGATACTGTCTATTATCCCAGCCTTATTCATTTAAAATGTTCATCTATGTCAATGAGCGAAAGGAGACCAGTTATGATACTGTATAGGTCAGCCTGCATTTCTGGACCAACCACTGTAGTTTGTGACCCTATATTCCAACTGGCTGACATTGGGCTACAGCCTGTCTGTAATAGACAGCAATCAAAATGATTTGTCATCATAGATGGGCCATCCTAAATTTGCAGCCTGTAGGTCTAGGTCAGCCGTCCCTGTTTGTGACTGTAACACCAGTCGGCCAGCTGGGAGATGCAATCTGTATGGGATGGACAGCCACCAAGGTGATTTCCCATCATGGATCAGCCTGCCTGAATTTGCAGTGTGTAGATCTAGGTCGGCCGTCCCCATTTGTGATTGTAACACCAGCTGGCCGGCTGGGAGATGCAATCTGTGTGGGATGGACAACTACTAAGGTGATACCATCATTGATTGGCCTGCCTGAGTTTGCAGTCGCAGGTCTGGGTCGGCCGCCGTAGTTTGTTACTAAGGGAAGCCGGCCGACTGGGGGATGCAGTCTGTATGAGATGGATGGCCACCCATATCACATGGGTCCACATTTAGAAGTCAAGTAATTAGTTTTCATGATGCTTGATTACTACCATGTCCTTTTTTTGGACAACACTTAGTTAGAGTTAGCGCCCCCTGTAGCCACAATACTTAAAAATAGATTGCTCCCCATATCAGGGCCTTCCTGCATTTTCCCACACTCCGCATTTTCGCATTTTTACCCCACAACACCCAAAACATCATCCTAATATGGTATACCACATAATTATAATTATTCCCACACTCTCTCTACCTCATCCTGCTTCACCACTAATAAGGCCTCCCTTATATCTAAGTAGTAGTTTGGTATATACATGTATAATATTATATGATAGACCACTTTTTTTGTCTATTTGTGTGCCCTGCTCCTCCTGTAGAGCCTTTTCAAAGTAGGGTAGGGTACAGAACATTTTTGCACTTTAGCCCTTTGATAGGGGGGTGTTCCAGGACATTCAGAACATGTTTAGGAGTATATCTGAAGTGATTCACCTTTATTTGACCACATGAAGTGTCCTACATCAATAGATATACTACATATGCAAGAAAACACAGATTATGTTCTCAATTAATTATGTTTGTATGAAGAAACTTGCAAAAATCATTACCAGCATCTATTCAACAATAGGAACAATATATCAGGAGCCTGGGACCATAGGGTGATCCCCTGTTGCATGATGTGTCTACCCTCTTCTGGTAGTTGACACTTTGTAAAAAACAATTCTGTAGGACTGGACCTTAATTGGAGTGAGGTGTCTATTTCTATGTATATTTGAAGTAGATCTATCATATAGCTGGCCCAGGACACACATAGGATCCTTTTATAGTAACAAAAACATCGAAAATCACATTTTTGACATTTTTGATGTTTCTGGTGTCTTATACATGTATAAATAATACAACCTGTTCATACATTGTTATCCTAGCATATATACTTGCTTTTGGTGTCAAGGATCAGCTCAAAATAGGCTGGAGGTTTGAGTTAGTGTGAACGCTTGCTATTTCTACTGATAAGGAGCCCATACTTTTAAAACATCAAAAATTCACAATCAGAGAGCTGGAGCAGATTTCAAATATATTCAGTATCATAGGTCGAAAGGTACAACACAATCCAACTAGAATTGAGTGCTGAGGAAGTGTTATAGATAAGAAATTGAGTGTGGGAAAGTTTAAGGACTCAAAACATCGAAAATGGTCAGTTGAGCAGTAGTAGGACTTTAATCCTAGGTCAATACACATTTACACTACATTCCTTTCACCTATCCTCTACCCTCAGGGCAGTAGATAACATATGTTCCTTAGGTAGTTTACTATCTATCCTATATAATTTTAATGAAATCTTCGACCTGTATCAGCTATAAATGTGAATTTGTGTCAAAAATGTCAATTGTCACTTTTCACGCAATAGTCATTTTGCCTGTCATTTGGTCAATTATCCATGGATCTTTCTAAAACTTCAATACTATCATCAGGGACATATATCAGAGGGTCTCCATGTCTCTGATCACTTATCACAAATTTAATCACTGTATAGTCTTCTTATTAGTAGAAATACCCTCTGTACATCATATATCACATTTGCGTCCTAGTAGAAGGATCCTATATGTGTCCTGGGCCAGCTATATGATAGATCTACTCTGAATATACATAGAAATACACACCTCACCTTAATTAAGGTCTATTGGGATGATGTTTTGGGTGTTGTGGGGTGAAAATGTGAAAATGCAGAGTGTGAGAATAATGTGGGAAGGCCCTAATATGGGGAGCAATCTATTTCTTATAACTACGGCTCATATAGCCCTTTAAGGCATGTTCTCACGATCACGTGATTTTTTTTTTGGCAAAAAGTCAAGCGTTACATGACATCAAAATACCCATAAAGGGAAATACATGTTTGCTACAGTAGCTTTATCTAATCTAAAGTGTAACAAGTTGGGAAAACAAACAAAGACAAAAAAACTAAGGTAAGCGGTGCAAGACAAGGATGGAGGGGCCCTCTCCATCCAAGCCTTGCGCCCTATAGTACAAATATAGGTAAAAAAAAAAAAAGGGGGAAATTGTGAAGTAATTAATAATCTAGTGTAATACAAGTCAGTATGATACTCAAGGATAAAATGGTGCTTACCAGTTTAAAATTACCAAGGAGTGTTGAAAAAAAAATGATAAAGAAAGCTAGAGAAAGAAATGTGGTTAGTATTAGAGTATATTTGAAGCAAAAAAATAAGAAAAAACAAACTGTATCCCTCAGATCTCAAGTAAAGGCGCCAGTCTCTAGAAACATGGATAGCCAAAAGTATAGCCCCCAGATCCCAAAGTCAAAGGTGCTAGTCCCTGAGGACATAGATAGCTAAGACAATACCCCCAGATCCCAAAGTCAAAGGCGCTAGTCCCTGAGGACATAGATAGCTAAGACAATAGTCCCCCAGATCCTAAAGTCAAAGGCGCTAGTCCCTAGGGACATAGATAGCCCAGTGTTACAGTAACGCTGTACCCCCCTATCTTTTCTCCTATCTCCTTGGACTTACGGCCGCGTTGCCTTGTACCCGTAGAGCCTCGGCTCCATTATGCCTTACCATTGACTCGGTTCGTCTTATCTCTGACTCCCTTTGACTCATACCTTTGATCCGGGTTATCTCTGACTCCCTTCGACTCATACCCTTAACCCATGGACATGCGGCTGCGTTGCCTTGTACTATATCTGGCTACTGCCTACCTTTCTCGGACTTACTGATACCTGACGACCTCCCCTAAAGCTATTCCATTTCCCCTATATATACTCGTCATGTATCGTAGTTATTCTGCACTTTAATCTACTTGGTTTTCGACCCTTGTATCCTGTCTCAGAGGTACCAGCCCTCTAGAAGTCTACTTGGTTTAAACCGCACTTGATCCTCGCTTAGGCTTCACAACCTAAGTGTCTATCTCTGATTCTATCTTCGAGCACTCCTCGTCGATAGCCTGATTATCGTCTGTCTTACAAGGTGCCAGCCCTTGAAGACCGAACCCTTGATCCTACCTCAAAGGTGCCAGCCCTTTAGGTAGTCCAAACGAACTCCGCCTTCTTGTCTGAAGGGAAGAACCCGCTCGCCACAGACATCGTCGCTGACGAGGCTCTCTTCTGAGCCTGTGACGAGAGAACCATCCAAGTTCGTAACAAAAGATTAAAGTCTAACAAATCCCCTTCGGTGCTTATCAAAGCAATCCACCATTTCGACCCGGAGAAGAAGATTTAATTGGGAAACCGATCCGCGAGATCTACCCACAGAACCCGATACATCAGAAGACGAATTCCCTGCAGAGAAACCACCCAGACAACTCTCAGCGAACCCTTCATTTAGAATGTCAAACCAGACCGTCCTCGCTAAAGCTGCAGAAATCAAAGTTGGAGTTCCAACTAGATTCTCTGGAGACCTTACGGACGCTAGCAGATGGAAGTACTCGGTACTTGCCTACCTGAACTTGAACAAGATCATCTACGATACCGATGAGAAGAAGATCATCAATGCGCTGTCCTATATGACCGAAGGATCAGCCGCCGCATGGGCGCAAAACTTCTACGCCACGGCATTTTCTACCATCACTACTCCAGTATGGGGTACCGCAGATAAATTCTGGGAAGAATTTGACAAAGCTTTCGTCCCAGTTGATTTGGCTATCAACGCCATGACTAAACTCAAGACCATTAGACAAGGAACCGACCTTGCTAAATTCATAGCCGAATTCAAGACCCTCGTCGCGCAGGCCAATATCAAAGAAAGTATTTCCATCATTCACTTCTTTGAAAACACGCTAGAACCAGGGTTACGAAACCGTGTTTACATGAAGGAAACGGTCCCGAAGACTTTTGACAAGTGGGTTGAAGCTGTCGTCCAGCTCAACGCCAACTGGCTCAGAAGCAAGGCCGTTACGCAAGGCTTGCACCAGAAGCCTTACAAATCCAACAGCAACACAAGATACGTCCCGAAACCGCACGTCAACAAGGATCGCGATCCTGATGCGATGGACGTCGATCGTCTCAGCGAGGCTGAGCGTACCAGATATATGAAAGAAGGAAGGTGCTTCATTTGCGCCAAGACTGGGCATCGTTCCAGCGACTCCTCCTTCCATCCCAAGAAGAAGAACGTCCGCCGTCAAAACATTGAAGACGAAGAAACGGATGAAGATGTCGAGGACATCAACCAAGTAAAGGATTTTTGAAGAAGAGGACTGGATCGACGTCAGTACCTCATAACCGAATCGGACTTGTACGTAAAGTAGGTGAGAAGAAGGAAATGCGAATTCCCATTACTCTCATCTCTTCCGTCCGTCCGAAAACCGTCGAAACAACTGCTGTTGTTGACTCCGGAGCATCCAGAACATTTATCTCCGAAGATTTTATCAAGGAGCATGGGATCAAGACCCATCGTCTCAAGAAACCTTTCCGTGTATGGAATGCCGATGGCACGAACTCCGGAAAAGGAAGAATCACCCACTATTGCACCATTATGGTCAAAGTGGATCAGCGAACCATGTATGGCAAGTTTAATGTCCACAAACTTGGCCATCACGACTTGATCCTCCTCGGAATCCCCTGGCTAAAAGCCATGAACCCTACGATCGATTGGGCAAACGAAACCCTCGATCTCTCCAAGACCGAACGATCCGAAAAGTTAGAACGACTTACGGATAAAGAACGAAAGAAGAACGGTCTGAAACCGTTATTTGAAGAAAAGAAACGTGAGTGGAAGAATTCCCAACTAAAGAAACCTTCTCAGGAGAAGTCGGGAACGTCCATGAAAGAGACAAATGAGGAGAAGCCCTCAGCCTCTGCTCAACCGCAACACGACCCTGAGCAAGCAATCAAGAGTTCCCTGACCCCTGAAAGGTTATCTTCGAAGGGATCTTTCACAGCTTCGATTGAAGAAATCGCCGATGAAGAAGCACCCGGCCTCCTTCCTATTCCGGAAGATGACGAAGAAATGATTACGGAAAATGATGAACGATTTGACACTACCAATGACGTTTGGATTGATCGACTCGATGAACACTTCGCACCTGCAGTTAGTTCAATTGCCGAATATGCTTTGCAGGATGACGAATTTCTCGTTGAATACTCCGACTCAATGGATTTACGTGTATTTGAAAACGAATCCATGGACACCCCCCTGACCAAAGACGGAACATCCTTTGCGGAACAAAAGAAACCGGTTTCACCCCTGCCACGGCCCTCTGAATATGTCAAAATTGGAAACAAAGCCCAGCAATTTGCCCTCGCTGCCAATGCAGAGCAAAAGAAGAAGTCGTTTGAAGAACTCGTCCCTGAGTATCTTCACGACTTTGCTGACATCTTTGCGAAAGATGGGCTTAATCAATTACCTCCTGAACGACCCGGCATTGACCACCGAATTGAAACAAAACCCGGCTTTATTCCCAAAACGTCCAAAATCTACCCCTTATCAGAAAAGGAAAGAGAAGCAGTGAAAACGTTTATTAATGAAAACGTGGAGAAAGGCTTCATTTCAGAATCGAAGTCGCCACAGGCTAGTGGCTTCTTCTTTGTTGGAAAAAAGAGTGGCGATCTTAGACCCTGCCAAGACTACCGGTATATCAATGATTGGACGGTGAAAAACGCGTATCCCCTCCCACTTCCGCTTTCGCTTGTGGCACGTCTGCACGGCGCAAAGTACTTCACGAAGATGGACGTATGTTCCGGCTATAACAACATCCGTATCCACCCCGACGATCGATGGAAAGCCGCATTTACGACTGAATTCGGGCTCTATGAGCCGAATGTCATGTTTTTTGGGCTTTGCAACTCCCCGGCTACGTTCCAGGCATATATGAATTGTACCTTCCAGCAGGAGATTAACGAAGGATGGCTCATCATTTACATGGACGACATCCTGATTTTCTCAAATACTCTTGATGAACACCGAACCCGAACCCAACGAATCTTGGAAAAGATTAGGAAGGAACATCTATTCCTGAAGCCAGAAAAGTGTACCTTCGATGCACAGGAAGTTGAATACCTTGGAATGATCATTAGACCCGGACACGTAGCCATGGACACCGCGAAAACTGAAGGAATCAAAGATTGGCCAACGCCAACGTCCGTTAAAGACGTTCGGTCATTCCTCGGATTTTGCAACTTCTACCGCAACTTTGTACCACACTACTCAGATATTGCCCGACCCCTGATTGACCTGACCAAGAAAGATATCAAATTCTTATGGTCTGACCCCTGCCAGCACGCCTTTAATGAACTCAAGGCCTGTTTCTTGAAACAACCCGTCCTACGAAACCCCGATCCCACCAGACAGTTTGCTGTTGCAACTGATGCCTCCCTTGTCGCGACAGGAGGAGTGCTCCTTCAGACTGACGACAATGGTGTTTACCACCCTTGTGGATATCTGTCACAATCCTTGAACCCTGCCGAACGCAACTACCAGATTTTTGATCGCGAACTCCTTGCAGTCATTCGCGCCCTCGCGGAATGGCGTCACTACCTCGAAGGGAACCCACACCCTGTCGTAGTATTCACAGATCATAAAAATCTGCTCTACTTCCGTACCGCACAGAAATTGACTCGCCGCCAAGCACGTTGGCAACTTGAACTATCCCGATAAGACCTCGAACTTCATCATGTGACTGGAACCAAACTCGCAGCACCTGATGCACTGTCTCGTCGTCCTGACCACGACTCGGGTAAGAGTGATAATGAGGACGCTGTCCTCCTCCCCGACGACATGTTTATCCAACTACTTGACACCGACCTGATGGCCTCATTGGCCAACCCCTCCGAATCTGACCCCCTCTTCGCTTGTGCACGTAACGCACTTGATGGACTATCTCTACCGCCTATGAAGTCAGCATTGTCTGATTGGCGTATCTCCAATGGTATTCTTTATTTTAAGGACCGTGCCTATGTTCCCCCCGATTGTCGTCTAGCTGTTTTACAACAGACACATGATCATCCGACTGCCGGACACCCCGGTCGTTTTAAGACAGAAGAATTGACGAAAAGAGATTATTGGTGGCCCTCTATGGGTGCCTATATTCGACGATATGTTGATGGCTGTGCCTTGTGCCAGCAAATGAAAACCGACACCCACCCTGTAACTCCCCCGATCATGCCTATCGCATCCACTGCCGTCGCCCCTTTCACTCATCTCTCCATGGATCTTATCGTGAAACTCCCCCTGTCCGGGGGCTTCGACTCTGTTTTGGTCGTGGTCGACCAAGGGCTTACGAAGGGGGTAATTCTCATACCATGTAACGAAACCATCGATTCCGACGGAATCGCCAAGCTTTTTGTCAAACACGTGTATCGAAGATTTGGACTTCACGAAAAAGTCATCTCAGACCGCGGTCCCCAGTTTGTTTCCAAGTTCTCTAAAGCTCTTGCCCAACTACTTGGTTATCAAATCGCAGCATCGACCGCATACCACCCCCAGACAGATGGACAGACCGAACGACTGAATCAAGAATTAGAAACGTACCTCCGGATCTACTGCCGATCAAACCCTGAAACATGGGTTGAACATCTCCCAATTGCCGAATTCGTCCACAACCACCGAAAGCATGACTCCCGAAACGCCTCCCCTTTCTTCCTGATGATGGGATACGAGCCACGTGCGCTCCCCCACGTTCTTCCTGATACCACCGTTCCAGCTGCAAATGAACGAGTCCAACAGCTACAGAAGACAAGGGAAGAAGCTATTTCCTGCCATAATATCGCAATGCAAAGAATGGCGGAACGAACCCACGGAAAGAAGTATACACCCTGGAAGATAGGAGACAAGGTTTGGTTATCCGGAAGGAACCTCACCACCCCTTTGCCCTCGAAGAAATTAGCACCGAAACGATACGGACCTTTTACCATCTCCGCAGTCCTATCACCAATCACGTTCACCCTCGTGCTTCCCCCTCAGTGGAAGATACACCCCACGTTCCATGCATCGGAACTATCATCCTATCAGGAGTCCACGGCCCGAATTTCACTGAACCACCTCCTGACCTTATCAATGAAGAAGAAGAATACGAAGTCGAGGCAATCCTTGCCCATAAAGGAACAGATAAGCGACGACGCTATCTAGTCTCCTGGAAAGGATACTCCACCGCCAGTAACAAATGGATCCCAGAAAAGAATCTGGCAAATGCCGGACAGCTTTTGAAAACATATAAAAAGACGCACCGACTGAGTTGAGGCCCCAACCCACCTCTATTCACAACCATCATGAACTCTGCCTCTACCTCTGCCACCGTTGTCGAAGATACCCTTGTGAACCATTACGTCTCTACCTCCGCTCAGACCACCAGAACCCCTGTCCAGCTCGCCGCCATCTATAAAGAAAACATTGAGGCTGCCGACGAAGCCGCCCTCATTGAATCCGCTATTCTATCCCGCCAACACACTCTAGAGATTGAACGCATCCTTGTTGAAAGGAATGCTTATCCCACCGCCGCCGTCCTTAACACCATCAGAACTGCCCAACTCATCGAGCAAGAAGCTCAACTCATCTCCGACCCCGCCGTCAAACAATCCATCCTTCACTATCAGAAGCGTATTCGTGGTCTGTGCTACCTGCTCCTGCCTAGCGATATTAAAAAGGATATTCGCGAAGCTGTATTCATCATACTTGACCGAACGACTACTGAGGTTGCCAGACCACCATCCCCTCATCGTCTTGACGAATATATTCGCATCCCCTCCTCACCTCTATCAGAGGTTCCTAAACCAGTCCTTCCTCCCACAACTCCGCGCATTGCCGCTGACAATCCGCCTACCGTTAGCATGCCTGATCTGGAGCTTGGCACTCAAGCTGCACCTATCGTGGTCGAAGACTTCTCTCCACCACCCTCCCCTAACACCAGAATCGCCAGAAGAGAGCAAAAGAGACGACTACGTATCAGCTCTAAATCCGCCTCACCCGTCAAACGATCCTTGAAAACCTCGCCCACCACCTCTTTACCTGACAAGTACTCTACCCACACCGAGTATGACAACTTCATCTGTCGTCACTGCAAGGAATTCGGACACCGTCACAAGAACTGTCCTACGTACTGGTGCCGTGTTTGTCACAAACAACAACCAGGCCACCTCTCCGTCTATTGCAAGAAGTTGAGGGACCAGAAAGTTCGCGAGAAGATTCGCGCACCCCCTACCACCGCTTTCGAGGACCCAAACTTCTACACCCATATGAAAGATTGGGAAGCCCACGTCGATGAAGACGTTGCCAGAGCATATGAGCTCGAACGAGACGAAGCGCTGAACGAGTTCGAAGAACATTACCAAGTTGACGACGACCCTATCTATTACGCTAATCAAGATGATTGAAGTCGGTGACTTCATCGCTAAACACGGGGTAATGTTACAGTAACGCTGTACCCCCCTATCTTTTCTCCTATCTCCTTGGACTTACGGCCGCGTTGCCTTGTACCCGTAGAGCCTCGGCTCCATTATGCCTTACCATTGACTCGGTTCGTCTTATCTCTGACTCCCTTTGACTCATACCTTTGATCCGGGTTATCTCTGACTCCCTTCGACTCATACCCTTAACCCATGGACATGCGGCTGCGTTGCCTTGTACTATATCTGGCTACTGCCTACCTTTCTCGGACTTACTGATACCTGACGACCTCCCCTAAAGCTATTCCATTTCCCCTATATATACTCGTCATGTATCGTAGTTATTCTGCACTTTAATCTACTTGGTTTTCGACCCTTGTATCCTGTCTCAGAGGTACCAGCCCTCTAGAAGTCTACTTGGTTTAAACCGCACTTGATCCTCGCTTAGGCTTCACAACCTAAGTGTCTATCTCTGATTCTATCTTCGAGCACTCCTCGTCGATAGCCTGATTATCGTCTGTCTTACAAGGTGCCAGCCCTTGAAGACCGAACCCTTGATCCTACCTCAAAGGTGCCAGCCCTTTAGGTAGTCCAAACGAACTCCGCCTTCTTGTCTGAAGGGAAGAACCCGCTCGCCACAGACATCGTCGCTGACGAGGCTCTCTTCTGAGCCTGTGACGAGAGAACCATCCAAGTTCATAACACCCAGACTAAATCCCCCAAATCCCAACATTCAAGGCGCCAGTCCCTGGAGACATGGATAGCCAAAAATAAAAATAAAAGTAAAAAAGTCAATAAGTAATTCAAAATAATTCCTTTGACTACTTGCAGCTGCAGTCTGCAAGTATCCAAAGGACAGGTACATATAAAAAAGTAAAAAGATGTTGAGTAAATAGGATGTGGCGAAGGAAGTGGTGTCATGGTAGTAGTTAAGAAAGAAGAAGCGTGGGAACAATATTGAGAGTTGAAGTATTGTTTGTTTATTTGTTGTTGTTTGTAAATTCCCGCGCCTCAATCAACCAAAGTTGTAGTTTTTGTCAAGGTGAGTCTATCCATAGTCTAATGGCATCAATAGGTTAAGATCCTAGTGAGTTATAAGCAAAATACTCGAAAATGGAGGGTTCAAGAAAGTAACTTGACAGTGGGAATTTTTTCGCTGAAAACCAAAGTTGTAGCCCCTGTCAAGGGGAGTCTACCCATAGTCTCATGACATCAATAGGTTAAGATCCTAGTGAGGTATAAGCAAAATACTCGAAAATGGAGGATTCAAGAAAGTAACTTGACCGTGGGGATTTTTTCGAGTGTAATGATATCAATAGGTTAAGATCCCAGTAAATTATAAGCAAAATACTTAAAATTGAAGGTTTTAAAAGTGTGAAGGTCCAGCTTATTGATATAAGCTTATTATCTCAGTGTAATCCTAGTCCTATTAACCAAAAACTCGAAAATTCACTAAATCCTGTAATATGGCTTTGTTTGGCATTGCTTATTATAATAGGCACATTTCTATATGGTCATGTGAGTGTCTTTTCCTTTGTCACTGGCAGGTCAGTTTGCTCTATTTTATTGACACGTCCTTTTGTTAGGTGATTGTCCTTTCTTTTCTTAACATGTCTTTTGGGTAATATGTCTTTTTGTCAGGTGATTGTTCTTTATTTTCTTAACACATCTTTTGGGTAACACTTCCTTTTGCTAGGTGAGTTTGCTTTATTTTATTAATACATCTTTTTGTTAGGTGATTTTCCTGTCTTTTCTTAATGTGTCTTTGGATGACGCATCTCTTTGTCAGGTGAGTTTGCTTTATTTTGATAACACATCTTTCTATTGACGCCTCTTTTTGTTAGGTGATTTTTCTGTTTTTTTGTCAACATACCTTCTTGGTAATGCATCTCTTTGTCATGTGAGTTTCCTTTATTTTGCTAATGTATCTTTTTGACAGGTGAGTTTTTCATTTTATTTTATTGTAGCAAGTACAATAGTGCTAATACTTTCTACAATCTCAGTTTGAAAGCTCATCCAACATGGTCCACACGAAGAACACCACGAGGAAATCCAATGGTGGTTCAGTGCCACATGTCATCCTTAATTTTTCTAGAGCCACCAGTACTTCTGAAGTAGAGTGCTTTAGAGAAGAAAGGCTTTGACATCCTCCAAGGTCACAACTGTGGAAGGTGGGAACATTGAAAAGAGAAATACTCGACATATGGTGCGTCTATCTTTTCTGTCTTCAATTAGCTTATTCACTTTACCTTTGTTTCATATAAGGCTTTGACCACCAGCCAGCCATTAATAAGGAGTGTAATAGACTGGATTTTTGTTTTATATTCAGTCACCATTTATATTATTGCATATGAAATATATCTTTTATTACATAAATGAGGTTGCCTAGACCTACTCCGGTATGAAATCTCATTTCATTAGTGCATTTAGGATAGCCTCCATAAAATTGAAGGATGCAATATTGGGGAGATCTACTTAGATATGCTGGTTTCACTAATATAAGTAACATAGAGATATCATATATATCATGTGTTGTACTAGCCTACGCAGGTTGTGCAGAGATATGTATCATTTTCTATCTGGGGCATCAGCCTGCATGGGTTCAGCATGGCCGGCCTACACAGGATTTGCAGAGATATCATTGTCTATCTGGGGCATCGGCCTGTACATGTTCTGCATAGCCGGCCTACACAGGATGTGCAGAGATATCATTTCTGGTCTGGGGCATCGGCCTGTACATGTTCTGCATAGCCGGCCTAACAGGATGTGCAGAGATATCATTGTCTATCTGGGGCATCGGACTGTACATGTTCTGCATAGCCGGCCTAACAGGATGTGCATAGACCGGCCGCCGTCCGGTACACCTGGTTTTGCAGGCCAATGTACATGTCCTATCAACAGGTTATGCAGTACTATATGACTGAAAGGTGTGTATGAATCTGCTCGGGAGACTGAAGACTTGGAGCGTGAAACGGTAGAGGAGAGGCACCGTTGAAGGTTCAACAATCCAGCTGAGGGTGCAGCTGAACATGTTGGGTCTTGCTGCCTAGCTGCTTTGTCTAGTAGACAGTGTTCGACCCTAAAGGGTTTCTGTACCAGGCTCAGAGCTCAAAGGAAGGAAAATATGCTAATCACAACTGGGGACTCATACTGGTAACTGGTGAAGGAATAACATGATTATGTAAGCACCAAAAATGCGAACATAGGAAAGGTAGTAAAACAGTCTCTACAAGCCCAGCCAGGAATGAGTCTCTACACCGTGTCAGGGTGCATGACAAGTGTGTTGCTATGCCCTGACTTCTACGTATGTTTGCTAACTGTCATCTTATTGTATCAGTTCCCGTATACATTCAGGGCGGGCCCAATCGCAAATTGTCAGCACCTCCCGTTCTCGTTTGCCATCACGTTCCTCTGTTGTGCCGCCCTCCCATGCCGGTTCCTCTGTTGTGCCGACCTCCCGTGCTGGATCCTCGCAGCACCGCCATTATCCAACTGTCAGATCTCCGCGTATTCGCCCAGCATCTCCTGATCGCCGTCTAATCATCGAGGAAGATGAGTATTACTAACTTTGTAGCCCTTGTTGCTGCCCACTTCTGGTAACGTCTTCTGGTAACGTCTACTCATTATGCTTATGCCTTTCCTATGTTTGTCGTATGCTTCCTTATGTTTTTCTTTATGTTTTTCCTATGCGTTCTCATCTTTATCTCATCTCATATGCTTCGAGTTACCTAAGGTACATGTAGGTCTCATCTTATGTTCGATTTATTTAACAATTGATGTTGTGCGAGAACCCAATAATTTTGATAAATGCTCAAAATTACTGAGTCCTTGCGCAGTCTGATCGCGATCGAAATCTACTGAGTCCTTGCGTAGTCTGATCGCGATCAAAATCTAAGTTCAATTGCTTACCGACTTAATCGTTACACTTCACATCTAGGTTTGTTTGCTTACGGACTTAAGCTTTACACTTCGTGAATACATCTGATTTCTACCTCAACAATTATCTTCATCTCCCGTCTACATTAACTATACAAAATGATCGAAAGCGCAACATATGTGGGTCGTACAATCTATTATTGCGATTTTATGTTTGACATCTTTCGCTACAGGGAACGCAGGAGCCTGAAGAGAAATCCATCGGAAGTATGGACGTCGATAGCAACTTCTTGTTCGATTTTGATGGAGACGTCATAATGGTATGTCCCACCTTTACTCTTGTAATCTCACTCAGTATTGCTACAGGAAATTCATCAGCCGGATGACGAATTGGAGGCTCATATGGACGTTGATGCAGACTTTGTCCTGGTGAGCATGCCTTCCTATATTCCACTGCTTTTGGTTGACCGATATGTTAATTTTTAGCGCGAAAGCATAGTTATTGTGCAGGAGGCTGGCAAACTTGAGTGGTGTATGGACATTGACGCAGACATTGTCGCGGTGAGCACGTCTTACTATGTTCCACTTCTGTTCATTGATGAATATTGTAAATCTTAGCATGAAAGCATGGTTATTGCGGAGACGGCTGATGAATTGGAGTGGTCTATGGATGTTGATGTGGACATTGTCATGGTGAGCACGTCATACTGTATTTCACTTCCTTTGATTGACCAAGCATGATTATTGCGCAGGTAGATCTATCTACTTCTCCTGACGTCTAAGGGGATATCACACACCCCACTCTTGTAAAGGCCCAGTAAGCTTCTGCTACAGAAATTTCACCCCCCCTCCCCCCATCACTATACCTTTGATATCAACATTTCATCGAGTCATGTTAATCCACACTTGTGTACACCATATCCCCCCCTCCCCATACCATTGAGATTGTATCATGACAATGTTACTGTAATTACATGCTGAATCAGACAAGTTCTCCAAATTCCATCTTGTGATACACTTGAAATCACGCTACATATAACATCCTACCAATCTGTCACTACAAATGTCACAATTAATCATTTATTTTAATCATTTATTTAACAAAAATTAAT